TGTGCCTGAGTTGAGGCGGCCTGGGTTTAGGGATTCCACTCCTGACCTTAGATGGGGCGCCGTTGGTGCCAGTACCAGGGGTTAGGAATTTGGGAGTGCTCCTGGATGCCTCCTTAACGATGGAGGCCCGGGTAGCAGCCACAGCTAAGTCAGCCTTTTATCATGTTCAGCTGATTAGGCAGTTGGTTCCCTTCCTCGAACACGACGACTTGGCAGCAGTGATCCATGCTATGGTCACCTTGAGATTAGACTACTGTAATGCTCTCTACATGGGGCTGCCCTTGTCCCAAATTCGGAAGCTTCAGCTGGTGCAGAATGCTGCAGCCAGGCTGTTGTTGGGCCTCCCCATGTGGGAGCACATCCAGCCTGCCCTGAAAGCGCTGCACTGGCTGCCTATAGCATATCAAATTCACTTCAAGGTGCTGGTTCTTACCTTTAAAGCACTTTATGGTCAGGGTTTGGCATATTTGAGGGACCGGCTTTCCCCACATGTCCCCCAGAGAGCACTGCATTCAGGGTCCCAAAACCATCTGGCCCTCCCGGGTCCCAAGGATGCCAGGCTGGCCTCGATTAGGGCCAGGGCCTTTTCAGTGGCGGCTCTGCGCTGGTGGAATGAGCTCCCGGAAGACCTTTTACAGTTCTGCAGGGCCTGCAAGACAGAGCTCTTCCACCAGGCATTCAACTAAGGAGCCGCACCGAATGAATTTAAGACCCTGTACCCTATTACCATCACCAGAATCCTGTGCACTGTTGATATGAACGGACATAAAATGCTGACTGTATCTCATTGTAATGGTTTGCTACTACTGCCGCACCAGTATTACACAAATGGCACACGAGCACTTTATGTTGTGTTTTATATTTATATTTGCTATGTTTTATCTGTTTTAAAACTTTTATGTAAGCTGCCCTGAGCCTGCTTTGACGGGGAGGGCAGGATATAAATCAAATAAATAAACGAACATAGAAATCTGGAACAGAAGAATGGTGGGTGAGAAGGGGGTATGTACTTCCTTGCCAGGCATTTTTTCTTTTAAAAATGCTTTTCTGAAACTGCTGCATTTGCTTCCATAGGGTAATATATAGATTCCCATGTCTTTTCCTCTATGGGTAAAAAAAGCAACTTGAGGGGAGGTGATTTTGAGAAGGGAAACAGTAAGGAACATATTAAGTACCCCCTCACCATGCTAGCTTTTTTGATCCTGGATTCTGCCTTTCCGTGAAATTTGACAGATAATCTGTTCTGTATAATCTCCCACTGTCATGCATGAGTCATTTTTTAAATTCCTCTGACAAAACCATTGCTGATGTCCTCAAACCTCCTGCATAACTGAATACCCCCTTCTCCCAAAAAGAGGCTCTATCAAAATCTAAAAACTGCAGTATTGCTACTATAACTATTACTGAGGACTGACAGGTAAGATGCTTTTCTCAAAGAAGTATAGCACGAAAGTTCCCAGAAGGCAGACATTACTAAAAAAGCTGAATTCATACAAAGTCTAAAAGATGTCCAGCTTGTAAACTGCCACTTGTCTACTTGCCTGGGGCAAGTAGCGATTGTAACCCCCCCCCCCCGGTCAGTTCCTGAGTAGAAAACTATGGCTGATTCTGCATTGGCTTTCCCCTCTGTTGTTGCTTCTAAACCCACATTAGAACAGAAATTCCCTGTGCATTGCATGCTGCTTTCACATCCTTTGATCATCTGATTTTATGGTAGCCTCCACATTCCATGCGGCTTTTGCTTCCTTTGTTCATCGGATTTTATGGTACTGTCTGCATAGATTTATGGCTGTTTTATGGCCGTTCAGGGGTGACTTTGCAGTCAGTATGGCGTTGGTCCTGGTCCGGAATATTTGAATGTGGTTTTGAGCTGTACTTTTTCCTCCCAGTTGTGAAAATGTGGTACAAATGCTAGATGCAGAATCGCCCTAAGTCATGGTCCAGAAGCTGAAATGCATTGAGTCGCTGAAACATTGCCAGTGATTTCATGTGTGGCTTAAGGGGGGGGGGGGAGAAGGAGAGGCAGAGATCACTAGCTTGGGACTGGCTGCTACTGGCAGGTTTGGATAATGTTCAAACTACTTGTCCCTATCCTGCTTTTTGTGTGTGCATCCCTACCAAACAATAAAGACCAGCATGGAAACAAATGAAGAACAGTGAACAACAAAGGACAAATGGTGTCGAAGTAAGAGGTTGAGCTCCCCCTCACTGGCAGTCTTTAAGCAATGGCTGGACACTTATCAGGGATGCTCTCGGCTAATCCTGCATTGAGAGCCAGTTTGGTGTAGTGGTTAAGTGCGCGGACTCTAATCTGTGAGAACCGGGTTTGATTCCCCACTCCTCCACTTGCACCTGACTGGATGACCTTGGGCAAGCCATAGTTCTGATAAGAGCTGTTCTTGAAAAAAGAGCAGTTTCTGTCAGAGTTCTCTCAGTCCCACCTACCTCACAGGGTGTCTGTTGTGGGGAGGGGAAGGGAAAGGAGTTTGTAAGCCGCTCTGAGACACCTCTGGGTAGTGAAGGGTGGGATATAAATCCAATCTCTTCTTCTTCTGAGCAGGGGATTGGACTAGATGGCCTGTATGGCCTTTTCCAACTTTGTGATTCTATGATTCTTGGTTCCTACCCATACAACTATGCTCAGTAGCTGACCTTCAGGGAAATCTAATTTTGATTATCAAAACTAGGCTACCCACCCAGAATGATGTAGGTTAATTGTTAGCAAGAAAGTAATTCTGGGAAATAACTGAAGATTTACTATAGGATCTGTATGACTCCAGAGGAAGACAATGGTAAACCTCTGCTTGTCTCATGCCCAGAATGCTCCACAGATGAGGTTGCCATAAGTCAGTTGCAACTTGATGGCACATTTTTTCTTCTATAAGACTAAATCATTACAAGTCACTAGCTGTTCCCTATAACGGAAAGGAAAAAAATTATTTTCAATTGCATTATTATATTATCAATTGCATAGCATAGCAATTCCCTAGGGACCCTTATTTCTTTTCTTCTAGCAGCCAAAATTTGTTTGAAAAAAAGTATTTTATTTGAAAGTTTCTCTGGGCTTTCTTCTCAGATTTAGGCAGAATATATTATTCTGTTAAACATAAAACATCTTTGTTTGATTAACGTCCTACCCAGTCTTCAATTGTTTCAGGGCACCCCTCCCCCATTATTTTCACAACATACCTGTAAGGATAGGTTGAGAGTGATTTGCTTAAGGTCACCCATAAAACTTTCTCACTGCCTACTGAGGATCTGATTATGTGTCTCCACATTCAACAGATGTTTTCTTTATAAAAACGGGGGGAGGGGGACTGCATTTAATTGCATGATACCCTGTAGAGGTGATCAACACTGTTGCATTTGATAACACCAGTTGTGTGATTTGTCCCACTCAGGATCTGTCCAGAACGGCATTTTTGTATACATAACCCCTTCATTTGCAAAGACGATAAAGAGAAATTCAGAAGTACAATTCTTACAAGGTGAAGAATGTCAAAACACTTTTCAGTAAGTAGAGGATGGGGACAGATAGAATCTATCTGAAATATGATGCATGAAATATAAGTAATGGGAAGATTAAAAGTAAGCATCTGGAATATGCAAGGAATTAATTATCTGCTTAAAAAGAGACCAGAATATCTAATATAGTTCTTCTACAACGAACAACTCCCTTGAAGCAGAGGCATATAACTGCCTGAAATGTGGTTCTCTTTCCTTATTTCCACCCGCTACAATTTTAATCATGAAGAAACTCAATTTCCATCTATGTGAAATAAAAATTGGATAAAGAAGAAAGGTATGTCATACTGCCAGTACTGACAGATTCACAAGATTCTACTGTAATTAATGTAGAACCCAGAGAACCTTTATCCTTTTTCAGAGAGTTCTCTTGGCACTGTGCCCAGTCAAATATAATGGTGAAAACAACAGAGACCTGTAAAGGCTAACACGTTTATCGTGGCACAAGCTTTCAAAGCCACAGCCCACTTCATTAGATACATGCTGTGAGTGATCATTTAAGCAGGTAGGAATGTACAACCTCTGTACAGAGAGCATACTATTTTTTTTAAGTGAAGGCAAAAAGTCAAACAATAAAAAAGCTAGCAGTAGGTCTGCCATGGTATTATGCAAAGCAAATACGAATACAGAATCCAGTCAAATGGAATATAAGATCGAAGCTGTTGGTCTCAAAAACTCATGGGGATACGAGGGGCTACGGGGTCCTTTGTCTTGCTGAACCTGTGGGCACTTTGGAAATTTTGAAAATGGGGAGTGGGTGCTCCCGCAAAATGTTGAGAGGTTGCAAACCAAGCACCCTCCCATGATTTAGGCAGCTGCTTCTGAATAGTTGGTCTGCAACCGTAGCCACAAAAGAGATGCCTCCTGAGTTCTTCATTCTCCATGTCGGGCCTCCCATGTAAAGAGTGTCCTGCACATGAAGGGCAGAACATGAGTCTCTGGGCAGAAAGGGATTTTTTTCTGGCTGTTGTATAAATAGTTTGGCACAATAAGTCCTGTTAGAGGGAAAGGTGGAAAGGAAACAGGTACTTCAGCAAGTAACATTATTATCCTATCCAAGGTACAGAACAGAAAGAGGGGAATCAAGACATAAGTATTTATTTACTTACTTATTCATTCAATTTATACCCTGCCCTCCCCACAAAGGTGGGCTCAGGGCAGTTTACACAACATTTAATAAAAATACAATTAAAACCTATATAAGCATATAAACATATAATATAAATAACAATAAATTAAAACACACTTAAAACATTGGAACATTATCAGATAAAACAAGAGCAAACATTTCTAATATGGCTTAGGTGACTGTATGATTACCATAACTTTCATACCAGCGCAGTTCGCTCACTTATTATGTGGTGGGTACAGGCTAGAGACAACAATGGTAGTCCGGGGCACAGGCTGGAGGTGAAGGTAAAGATGGTAAAGCCAGGGCACAGGGACACTCCTCGGTGTATGATGCGGCTCCTTAGTCAAAAGCCTGGTGGAAGAGCTCCGTTTTGCAGGCCCTGTAAAAGTACAGCATGGCAAGACTGAACTCTTCAATTGAAATAGTACCACAGCAATTCACATACAGCAACCCAACAAAACTATTCATGTTTACAAGATCTTAATGTGTCATTGTATTATTTCAAGTCAAATGCCCAGTTTCTACTTCCCCTGACATGATTAGTCCAGAGTAAACCAACCCAGAGAGAAGAGGGGTTGTTTGAAAAGCCAAATGGTGTGCTGGAACAAATAGGGAGGGAATTTCAAACAGGAAGGAAGGAGTCCCTAATGAGGGATACAGTGGGGAAGCACTGATGGGCAATGGCCATCCAGGAATGGGAGATGGAGCTGCTAAAGAACAGGGAGTGTACAGAAAGACATGGAGGATTATATTCAGGAAGGAAAGAAGAATGGGTGGAAATAAAAAAGATGCATCTTGTGCGTCTAGATTTACCTGAGCGCCAATGGGGGGATCATTGCTATGGGCCAAATCTGGTGCAATCTGTGATGGCACTGAACCAAGAATGCAGATCAGGCTGTCTGTTGGTGGAATTTGGGTTGCTTTCTGATTGGTGCAATTTTCTATGTAAGAGGGGGTACCAAAGGATGAACTAGGGTGAAATAGTGACAGGAAATGCACCTGGTTGTGGAAGATTGCTTATTGGGTGGCAGGCATGACTCATACCTGCTAACGATGGCCAGAAGATGGGATAGTTAATTAAATGTGTCATTCTGTCCTTACATCAGGTAAATAAATTCCACCCCTTAAATAAACTGGGAAGCATTATATATAAATCAACTGGTCAGAAAGGCCTTATTGTAAAAATTCATGAGATCTTAACAGAAGCAAGAAAAAAAGGAGTATTTTAAAAGGTAGAAAATTGATTTAACAATGACGATTCTAGATAATATTTGGCTCAAACTGCATATAGAGATTCAAAAATCTTCATTAAATATCAGAATAAGAAAAATACCATTAAAGTAATGGACAGATATTCCATATTCCACCAGGCCTTGCAAAAATGACACTGACAACTTCCTTATTTCATGGGAGAAGTAAAAAACTTTTTGGCTCATTTATTTATATTTGGCAGTTATGCCAAAACATCCAAATATTTTAGCAAGGAATATGTTTGATTATAAGAAAAATAGTCCATAGTAAAATTCCAAGCGACCTCAGCACAGGTTTTTTTGGGGGATATTTTATAAATGATCGAATCATAGAATCACAGAGTTGGAAGGGACTAGGGATGTGCATTCGGTTCATCTGAACCAAATGCATCCCCAAAAATGGTCCATTCGGGCCCCTTTCAGGCTGCTGTGGGCCGATTCAGATTCTCTGATCTGAATCAGCTTGCAGTCGAATTGCCGCCGAATTTTGGCGGCAATTTGGCCCCATTATATCCTATGGGCCATTGAAGTCAATGGCAAAAATATAGGGTATATTCTGGGGGATGGAGGGGAGGGGGTTTGAGGGAGAGGCTCTAAACTCACAGGGTAGCTGCTGAAACCTATCTCCAAGATACCCACCAAGTTTCAAGAACATTGAACCAGGGGGTCCAATCCTATGGGCCCTCAAACAGGTTGCCCCCATCCCCTCCATTGTTCTCTATGGTGGGAAAAAAGTAACCTCCAGGATTACTGGCCTGAAGAAAAAATTGCTTCCTGACCCCAAAGTGGCCATCAGCATTTCCCTGGGCATGTAAGAAAGAGCCACAAGAACTAAGCACTGAGGCAACCTTTCCTCCTCTCCCTCTCATGATCTGCCTAAGTTCACAGAATCAGCATTGCTGTCAGATGGCCATCTAGCCTGTTTGAAAGCCTCCAAAGAAGGAGAGCTCATCATCACCTCCCAAGGAAGCCTGTTCCACTCAGGAACTGTTCTGTCAGGAAGTTCTTCCAAATGTTTAGCTGAAAACTCTTCTGAATTAATTTCAACCTGCTGGTTCCGGTCCGAACTTCTGGGGCAACAGAAAACAACTCTGTATCATCCTCGATATGACAGCCCTTCAAGTACTTGAAAATGGTTATCTCTCAGTTGTCTCCTCTCCAGGCTAAACATACCCAGCTCCTTCAACCTTTCCTCATAGGACTTGGTCTCCATACCCCTCACATCTTCGTTGCCCTCCTCTCGACCCGTTCGAGCTTGTCTATATCCTTCTTAAATCGTGGGGCCGAAAACTGAACACAGTATTCTAGGTGAGGTCTAATCAGAGCAGAGTAAAGTGATACCATCACTTTGCGTGATCTGGACACTATACTTCTGTTGATACAGCATAAAATCACATTTGGCTTTGTATAAGGAAAGGAACTTTCAAAGATTCTGTTAATAGCAACATAAATTCTAGCACTACACTGGAAACAGGAGAAATTACCAAGTTTGAAGAAATGGCTTCATAAAATATGGTTTATTATGCATGTGGGGAGAAATAGCAGCATATATACAAATTTGGGATGGTAAACAATTCTACCCCAAATAATTTTATCAAGATATGGTATCATTTTTTGTATATCAGAATAAAATTAAACCTGATAAATGTGTAAATAAGGAAGAAATCTGTCTAATGTTTAGAATATACTAATAATAATACTGTATTTACATATTATGTGTAGACAAAAGGGGAAAAGCAGAATAGCAAAGCTTTTCCTGCTGGTTACCTGTCATCACAAAAGGCATACAAACGGGAAGATTTGGTGTTCTGTTTCTTTTGCACAATATTATCAAAACTGACTTGATTTCAGATTTAAGTTATAACTTCAGTGGATCCTAGGATAGAAAATAAAGATAAGTACTGTTGAGTGCATCATTCACAATAATAGAAACACTCATTACATTTTTAAACAAGTTTTTTATATTTAGCATAGCTATCCAACCTGCTGATGATTAAATATGCCTTTAATGGTGTTATAATAAGGGAATTACTTTTTAAAATTCCTTGAGTACTATTCGACCAGCAAACTGACCAAGTATTTCACTTGGTAACTGGCCACTGACCCAGCTGGCTATTCACATCCAGTGGTCACCAGTCAGGAGTGAGTTACATTAATGCTGATGGGATGTAGCGGATGTTGATAAAGTGACACTAAAGTGTGAATTTGTCTCTACAGCTCCAGGGGGCCCAAACTCTCAGCCCTGTCTCTGCTGTTCATTTACAAATTGCTGCTGCTGATTTATAAATCTCTCTACTCTGTTTATACCAGACAGCTGATAATGATGCTGTGAACTGCTGGAGCTGTCTCAGGATGACAAAGGGAAAAGCACAAAATGTGAAACTTCTACTTCCCACACTGCAACCCTAAGGAGCAGAATGACTGCAGGAACTGCCTTTTTCTCTCTGCTTCAGCAGCAGGTGGGCTCTCCATCAAGGAACTGGAAGCCTTGAATTAAAGGACACAGATAAAATACACACTATTGTGTGTGCATGTGGGGGGAATCTTTTCTCCTGATAGGAGATAAGACAATGCTGTGGCTGAGCCCACTACATTATTCCTGGAATGAGCAACATGTAGCTCACCACTCCTTTAGTGTCCTCTATACCACTGGCCCAGAAAATGACCTTCGGACATGACTCTTGGAATGCATTTCTGCAACTACCCATAGCTACTGGAGCTATCTTACGGCACTATTTTACTACAACAGTAAGAGAAAGAAACTCTTTTGGAACCTTTTGGAACCTAACTTTAATTAAAGATCTTGAAACTGTATTTGTGGTTGTACTTGTTAGAGTTAGAATGAGACCCAGTGTAGTGCAGTGGTTAGAATACTGGACTACAATGCAGGAGACCCAGGTCAGAATCCCCGTTCCACCATGGAAACTCACTGGGCAATCTTGGGCCAGTCACTCTCTCTCAACCAAACCTAGATCACATGATTTTTGCTATGAGGATAAAATGGAGAAGGAGAGAATGTCATAAGCTGCTTTGGGTCTCCATTGGGAAGAAATGGGAATATAAATGTCTAAAACAAATAGTACTAGCAGGAGTCTATTGGCTTTCCCCATCCAACAACAGGCCTGGAGCCCTGCCTCCTTCCTAGTAGTGTTGTGTCACACCTGGGATACCAATATGCTACCAAAGTGCAGCAGTCTTAAAATATTCCCCGGATACAGTAAACGAATGTGGGATTTAGAATTTGACTGTTGAAACACATAAGAGATATATGTATATTCCAAAAGAATTGACTATCAAAAGGCTACTTTCCTTTCCTTGACTAGATACAAAAAGCAATTATACTACTACCAGGAACACATTTGGGTATGCCTACATTAAAAAAAAAAAGATCTTAAAGCTAGTAACTCTGCTGTGTTGATCTTTGCACTCTGGAAGCAAGCACCCACACTGTGGAATATGGAAGTATCAGAGGCACGAAATAAGAAGTTTAACCGGGGGGCGGGGAGAGACACTTCATATTTCCATTCATCTACTTACCACTTGACTATAGTGTAGAGACCAAATCTAGGATCCCCATTTTTCTTATCTCAGCATGCAAGCTGCATTTTCAAATGGTGACAACTATCCATTCAACAACGGGATACTAACTGATAGGGCTATTGTGAAGTACTACATTCAGTGTTACTAAGTAAAACGAAACACTCCTTTAGTTTATTTTTCAAATGGTGCCTGAAACCAGGAGTTGTGCTTTATGCGTGGATAAAGTGCCAATTATAATGTATTGTGCAAAGCAGCTAAAGGTTCTTAATGACACAAATTCCATCTGAGCTTTCTAGCTCTTCCTTTTCAGATCCCACGATGAAAGGGCTCAAAAATGTTGCTAGATGAAGGAGCCAAATATCTTCTGCTTTACAACATTCATGCAGATGGATACAGTACATGCTGCCCTTACAAAATCTATTTTTAATGTGAATTGGCAGATAACTTTGCACCTAAAAATCCCCAACACATGGCATCCTGGTTTTATTTTAAGAACTCCAAGGAAAGATAATCTGCAAGCATCATGGGCACCTTTGCCTGTATTATGAAATGCCAAGGAACTTTTCCTTGATGTTCAGTTTTAAAACAGAGGCACCCAAACTTTTCGAGCCTGATGGTACTTTTGGAATTATGAGAAAGGGGAATGGGCACCCTCACAAAATGGCTGTCATTTTTAGCATTGCGAATAACTAGATGTTGGAGATGCCACAAAAATACTGGGAGGTCCCAAAACAAGTATCCTTCTATAGCCTAGGAGTGGAAGGTCCATGGCTTAGTGGCAGAGCATCTGCTTTGCATTCTGAAGGTCACAGGTCCAGTCCTCAGCAACTCCAGTTCAAATGATCAGATAGCAGGTGATGTGAAAAACCTTGGAGGGCCACAACCAGTGAGTAGACAGTACTGATCTTGATAGACCAAGAGTCTCACTCAGTATAAGGGAACTTCATGTATGTGTGTGTTTTGGTTATTCAGTGCTTTATTTTTATGGTTTAAAATGGTAATGTAAAGTAAATGTGGCACAGGAGTGGACTGGGAAGTGAAAACGGCCCTGGAGCAAATTAAGCTGAGCGGCCCCTGCTGCTGCAAACCATAACTGCAGGGCTCCAGCAGCTACCTTGCAAAAAATCTTACCACAAAACTATGCTTGTTACATACACACACACACAATGAGATTTTTAGAAAATTACTGATATTCCAGATGTAGAAGTTTTGTAACTCTTGTTGGTGAAGTGCACTTCCTATGTCATATTTTCATTCCTCAGAGCTGGTAATTTTAGCTGACAAAAACCCTATTTTTTGCAGGAGCTGCCTTAGTCCACCAGTTAAGTCACAATACATACAAGGTCCTCTGGAGTTGCCTAATAATAAACAGTCAAGAATTCAGTATAGTCTTGGAGCTCAGCGTATTGGCTTTGCTTTTAATTTTTGGGCTACACTTGCAGTTTGATCTTTTGTTGGCATCAGTTTCCTTGTATATTACTGGTTCCTCACACTAAGCACAATTTTATAAACCCTTGCCCGGTCCCTCCTTTAGTCCTTGTTTCGAAAGTAAGTCTTTAAACTTTCCCTAAAGTGCTTTTCTAGCGCTACTTTGGAATTCGGTTTCCAAATGTCAGCTTCTGGAAGGTTATGCCATTTCAGCTTTAATTTAAACTATGTGTGAGAAATTGTGCGGAAGGGGAATGTGATACTCTCCAACATGAGTTTGAGTCAGGCATGGAGACTGCCTAAGGCATGTGATAAATGAAGCACATAAGCTTGGGATAAGATGTGACTGGCCAAAGGAAAAAGCTATGCGAAAGAGAATATGACAAGAAGAAAAAGAAGCAAAACATTAGAAATGGATTAAGCACTGGAATGGTAAATGCTGGGTATGGTTTTTTTTCAGACATTCAGTTTTATGTAACTAAATTCTATTTAAATGAACTTAAAAACAACATACCTTTTTAAAAGGCAAGCGTCTCCTCAATGTGATTAACAGATTAATCCTAAACCTCATGACACTGACATAGGATATTTCACTAGTACTTCAGTGGCATGACCCTATGTTCTTTCACCAGAGAAAATGTGTACCTGAAAAGATCCAACTGCACTGGAGTGAATAGGGGCAACATCAACCATGGAACAGAATGTTGATGTCTCACATCAGCCAGATATGGAAGAAGCCAACCAATGCACAGTGTTTGAGCTCTGTGATCAAGAGAACCCCAGAGATTAAGCATCACAGTGACAAAGCCTTCATAAAAAGAAGAGGCCTAGCAAGTTAAGCATCTGTGCAAGCTGCAGGTGTTACTTATATTTGATTCTGATAATATAGTTTAAGCTAAAGAGCTTTGCATCTTAGTGGGTGAAGAAGGAATGCTGTAGCAACAGATCTTCTCAATAGTACTGCAGCAACTGACTTAAATCTAAGCTAGGCTTAAAGGATTTTAAGCATCACAGTGACAAAGTGTCAATACAGGAGAAGTACAGGGCATAGAGGGGAGAGACACTCAACCCTTTTTCCTGGGTAAACACACCACAAAATAAGCAGTAAAATACCACTTATGAATGTAGAAAGCCAGCAGGGTCAGGCAGCAATCCAGTGTATTGCATGGAGTCTCAGATGAATGACTACTTGCCTGCCGGACAGAAACGGTAGGTGCATGCTTGATGCAAGGAGTTTGTAGCCCTCAATCAGCATGTTCATCCCTTTGAGGCCAAGGTAGTTCGCCTGGAGAAGTTGAGAGGCAGACAGAGTGGTTGATGAGGCTTCTAGGGATGTGACAGTGTCATCCCAATTCACAGGTGACAGCTCCTTACCAGTCATGGATAATGAGGGCCTTGTGGAAGGAGAGCATCACTCCAAGGAAAGGGACAAAATTGCTTAGAATTGCTTCCTTTGTGAAGACATATCCTCTCATGCTAAGGATACGTCACTGAGGAGAGGGGGACCTGTCACAGTGGGAGATACGATCATTAGACATGTAGATAGCTGGGTTGCCGATGGGTGTGTAGACCTCATGGTAAATTGCCTGCCTACGAGGAAAGTTGCAGACTTCACCCATCATCTACATAGCTTGGCAGATAGTAATAGGGAGAGTCAGTGGTTGTGGTGCATGTTGGCACCAATGATGTGGGGAAGTTTAGTCATGAGGTCCTGGAAGTCAAATTTAAACTGCTAGGTAGGAGACTAAATGCCAGGACCTCCAGGGTGGCTGTCTCCAAAACACTACTTATTCCACATGCAGGGCCAGCTAGACAGACACAGTTGGGAAGTCTCAATATGTAGCTGATACAATCGTGTATAGGGGAGACCTTTAGATTTCTTAGACACTGATGGTCATTTTGGGACAA